TTTCAGAGTGGAGTTGGCAGCGGAGAACAGAAATGTAAGACTTGAAGAAACCCAAGTCTGTGGGACGCATGGGTGCAGGAGCACGCACACACGCACGCACACACACGTGCGTTTACATTTTTCTAGAGGTAGGCTACTCTGAGATTTTCATGAGTTAATGCAAAGAGGAAATACTCAATTCACTGTATTCATGAGATAGAAATGCTTCAGAGGGTTATGATTACCCTTGGTACTGACATCTGAAAGACGTTTCTTCTGTGGGTTTTCATAGAAGGCAGCACGTAACTACAGAGAACAAGGACAAATTTAACAAATTTATCCACAGAACAAATTTAACACACATGAGCTCGTGTTTGTAAAAAGTCTTTTAATATAAGCCAGTGGCATAACACCCAAAGCAATTGTTTTGGGGAAGATGATGGCATCCAGGTTAACAAGCTATCTGGTTTTAACAAAAATAAAAAATAAAATCTAGACTAGAAAGATAGTGAGCGTTGTCCATAGGTCCATATCTGTTCAGGAGACATTGTTTTTAATAGGTAAATTTTTTTTCAAAAAAAGTAATTATTTGAATTACTGGAAAACATGAACCATTAGTTTTCATAGTTAGAAGTCCATTTTTATTTTTGCTTCTCTTGAACCATGAGAAGACCTAGTGCCACAGGGTCGACCTGACTGTGCTCTCCATTTTCCCCTGTCTTTCCTCAATTACGTTACCTGCCTGGCTCCTGCAGGTGTGATATTTGCGATTTCTGCTGCAGAGACACATATGGACCACATGCCACTTAGAGAATCCTTAATGTGAATTATGACAACTTTAGATAGTAATTGTGTGACAGAAAATATAAGGTTATAGTCTATGACAAAATTTGGAACACAGGTAGGAATATCCATCAACATGTGTTAGTGAGATTCGTATGCTTCAGCTACTCGCTGCACTTGAGTTAAGGTTGGTATCTTTTTATGGGTTCAAAATCCTGTGTCTGAATGTAATGTCTCTCTCCTTACCCTGACATGCAGGGTGAAAATTTTCCTCAAGAACTTGTTTTGAATTCCCACTGACACATGATGGGATTTAACCCTAAATACATTAAATATGGTAAGAGTGATTGTACATACAGATGGATTTTGATTTTTAGGAGGAGGGCCCAAGTTTATGGCTGTTATTTTGGCTATGAGGTGGAAATACAGCAAAAGCATTTATTATGTCAATGGTCAGAGTGGGACAAGGCACTTGGGTTTGGTTATATGTGGAGAACATGGCAGGGGAAATGTGTAGAAGAATTTTAAAGACAGCCCTGATTCCGTTAAACTGTTTAGGTAATTGATGGCTTTGGATTCCCTGTTAATTCAAGTTCCTGTTCTTTTGACAGTCCTGCATAATCAAAAGCGTTTTCTTTGCAAGACTGTTCAGCAGTCTCGGTTTTCTGCACATTGATTCACGGTGGTCGTTTCCCATCTTCTCCCCTTTTTCTGAATACTCACTTTGATTGTCTGAAAAACTCAGCCGTTTCCTCAAGTCTCGCCAGACCCAATCGTGCCTTATAAATGTGATTTCTAGGTACAAATCTGTCAGAGGAATTTTCACTTCTTCCCTTAGGTGGTTATTCATTTTTCAAAAATCTGTCAGATAAATTCAATTCACACCTACCACACCTGCCAATTTCTTACTCACTGGTTGACGGGTGCATCAGACAAGAATATTCTCCGGTAGCTGCCCATTCACTAGAGTCAATTCTCTTCACTTTCCATATTCGTTGCCTATTTTGCTTAGGATCTTAAGTATTATATTACTGTTTTTATGTTTATGGTTTACCGAAACACTTATTTCTTTGTTCTTTACTTTCAAAATGAAGTATTAAGAATTAATATTTTTATTTAATGCGATGATGTCACCACAGCGTTTGTTAATAGTAAGGTGATTCATCGTTACGGGTGTCTCATTGCCAAGACCTACTCTGTTTAATTGCATATGGTTTGCTTTTCAGTTATTTCCAGGTTTCCCTGTGATGAGCAGCTTTGTATTGACATTTTAGAAGATTTGGTTCAGTCTAGTGAGGTTCAGTATTTTTATCAGTCGCTTTTTGGAACTTTGTGTTTCTTCTTGATTATAATTTTTCTCTCTGTCTTAAATGTAAAAAAAACTTAGAAAATATTTCTCACCTTGAGGGGATATTAATATACTGTTTTTGTAATTGTATTTTTTTACAATTACATCTTTAATCCATAGGATCTTGTTTGTTTTTGTTTGTTTTTAGAGATTGGGTCTCACTATGTTGCTGAGGCTGGCCTTGAACTCCTGTGCTTAGGGGGTCCTCCTGCCTGAGCCTTCTCCTGACTAGCTTAGACTACAGGGCCACAGCACCTGGCCCATAGGATCTTGTTTTTGGGTAAGGAGATGTTCGTAGTGGTGAGTCTGTTATCTCAAGACCTTCTGTTGAAGAGGCCGTTGTTTTTTCACTGATTTTAAATTATCATATACTAAATTCACTTATTTAGTATGTGTAGACTCTATTTCTGGACTTCTTTTGGGGGAAGGGGGCTTATTGACTTATACATTCCTGTGCTGGTAGCATACTCTTGTGGTTACTATTACTTATAATAGTTGGGAAGGCAAATGGTCTCTCTCTTTGTTGGCAAGGCTGGAATGCAGTGACACTATAACAGATCACTGTAGCCTTGATCTTCTGAGCCTCAGTAAGTCTCTCACCTCAGTCTTCTAAGTAGCTGGGACTAGAGGGTGTGCCACCATGCCCAGCTAATTAAAAAAAATTTTTTTTTTAAAACATTTTGTAGTGACAGGGTCTTGTTATGATGCCCAGGCTGTTTTTGAACTCCTGTCCTCAAAAGATTCTCCCTCCTTGGCCTTTCAAAGTGCTGGGATTACAGGCATGGTCTACTGTGCCTGGGCCTATATAAAGTTTATAATCATTTTGCAAAGCTTTATAAAATACCTTTGTAGATTTGTTTACAATTGTATCATGTTTCTAGATTAATTAGGGGCAAATTACATTCTTTACTAAATTACGTTTTTGAATTCAGGATTTTAGTGTGCTTTTCTTTTTTAAAAATTCCCCTTGAATATAAATTTTGTTTGTTTTCAGATTATAATAACAATATCTACTTATTGTAGAGAACACGGAAAATGCATAGCCATTTTGTCTTTCTCTTTTTCAACTTCAGGTAGAGAGAATTGAGTTAATCATATTCCAACTTGAGTTCCTTATAGTTCTCTGGTCCATGGAATGTTCCGGTAAAAGTTGTAAAAGCCTAGCTTCTATAACAAGCAACCCCAAATGTCAGTGACTCTACCCAGTAGAAGGTTCTTTTTTGCTCATGTATGTTTTAATTCAGCGAGGGTGGGGCGGGGACTCTGCTCCATCCACTGGTTCGGGACCCAGGCTCCCTTCTCAGTGTGGCTCCCTCTTCCACCCAACCCCTTTCAGACTATATCAGATGTGTTCATCACAGCCTGTGCATGCCTCTACCTTTGCATCACCAAATAGGCTTTCTACTTTAAGAAGAAAATGTGTTTTAGTCATATTTTTAATACTAACACCTGCATGGCACGTTGTTGTGATTTTTAAAAATGTTAATTAAATTAAGAGTAAAAAATAGAAATGCTTGCAAAAAAAGACTAGAAAGAAGTATGTTCCAATAGTGAGTTTCTAGTGTTTGTGCATTTAACATGTGTTACCATTATAATAATCAGGCCCTAATAATTGACTTTAAAAAATAGCCAGTGAATGTTTGACCTTTTTTTTTTTCATTTCTTTGTTTCTTCTGATTATGTCCTTATCTCTTTCTATTAATAGTTGTTATCTATATGTAGAAACGTCTACATACAGAGTCAGCTGTTACGGTACAGTTACTATTTATCATTTTAGAAAAGAAGGCTTTTGTAATCCAGTAGAACTCTTACCAACGGTATAGAAAATAGAAAAATTCGTTTTTTTTTTTTTTTTTTTTTTGAGACGGAGTTTCGCTCTTGTTACCCAGGCTGGAGTGCAATGGCGCGATCTCGGCTCACCACAACCTCCGCCTCCTGGGTTCAGGCAATTCTCCTGCCTCAGCCTCCTGAGTAGCTGGGATTACAGGCACGCGCCACCACGCCCAGCTAATTTTTTGTATTTTTAGTAGAGACGGGTTTTCACCATGTTGACCAGGATGGTCTCGATCTCTTGACCTCGTGATCTACCCGCCTCGGCCTCCCAAAGTGCTGGGATTACAGGCGTGAGCCACCGCACCCGGCCTAGAAAAATTCTTTAAAATGAAAATAGGATATTTTATGAAAACAATTACGTAAAATATAGCACTGCTTTTTAGAAAAAACAAACATTTAGACACATAATCTTTTTAAAAAGTACCTTTGGGTCAGGCATAGTGGCGCACACCTGTAATCCCAGCACATTTGAAGGACAGGGTGGGAGGATCTCTTGAGGCCAGGAGTTTGAGATCAGCCCTGGCAACATAGCAAGTCCCTGTCCCCACAAAAATATAAAGTTAGCCAGTTGTGGTGGCATGCACCTGTAGTTCCAGCTACTTGGGAGGCTGAAGTGGGAGAATCACTTGAGTGTGTAATGAGTTATGGTGGTGCCACTGTACTCCAGACTGGATGACAGAGCAAGACCCTGTCTCAAAAAAAAAGTATTTTTGTCCATTACAATTTTTCTGTTTATTAATGACTGAACAATTTATTTGGATTTTAAGCCTCTTTGTGATCTGAAAATCTCTTTACCTTTATAGTAGTTCTAGAGGAATACCCTTTAGGACTTCTCAGAAATGAAATAAATAAATAAAACATATACTAAAAAGAGATGTAACTTAATTTCTAATGTATTTAAAATTTGACAGAACTCAGCTTTGCTTATTTCAGACTTACATCGTGTTGCCTTGGGAATGTGCCTGTGTACATGGCCTCCTCCCTTCCCTTCCATCCGACTCTGGTGGTGTCCTGCCCTCTTCCTAGACGTAGACAGAATCAGGAACACAGACTTCTGTTAAAATGACCACAGTGTACTTTATTTAATGATTTTGGTACCTTGTGTTGCAATAAAATAAAAAAAAAAAACCTACAAAATCCAAATATATAAAATTTCAAGTTTTCCTTTTTTCCTTTAAGTTTTACAAGAAAAATCATGTAACCAAGGAAAATGGTTCATTATGAAGTACTACTTTCCACTTCATTTCATCACAAATTGCAACTTACTTAACAGACCAAGGTAACTATGGTACTGTAGCACATCAAATACTCCACGAACTGTGCTTCAAACTAGGGCACTGGGGGTCACTGCCGGCCGACAGTGGCCTCCGCGAATAAAGACACACTTACAATCTGAACGCTAAAGGGATGTTTGGATACATGGAATTTGAATATATATATTTACAGGAAGGAAACAAATTTAATAACTAGTTTAAGTCTCCATTTCAAATAAAACTCCAAATACATTTGTACAATGTTTACAAAGTAAAAGCACAAGAACTGCCAAGATGAGCATTCGGGTCCAGGCACTGTGCTCATACTGGGGAAATGTCTACACCGTTCCCTATGCACACACGTGGGGTCTTGCAGACCCTATTTCTGTAATGGAGAGGGAAGCACAGGAATGGCATTTTTGCACAATCAGAATGTCATGCAGATAGTTGACAACAGGGGACTGAGAAATTATTGGTCCAGTCTCTTCCATTTGCTGTTCACCTGCCACCTGTTCCATTTTTTTCAGAGATAGATTTAGAACAAAACAAAACAAAAATAATTGAACAGGGAAAGGAGCACAAATGTTTAAGGCAAATGAAGCAAATACAGAGCAGCTTATCTTGGTGTTGAGTGGAAATGAGGATTTAACCCGAAACCAACCTTAGAAACAAGCAAACAAAATTAAGGACAACCTCCTGAGGTTGGGTGGCGTATATCATGTACAAATTTTTGAAAATTGCTTTGCACCAAGTATCCTTTTGAAATTTTAAATGAAAGAACTTGTTGATTACATAGTGCATGGTTTCATGTTTCTAAATAAAACGACTGTAGTTGAGGTAGTTAGATGTGAAACTTATTTACTTAAAATAATTGGAGAACGAAGAACAAATGTTGGTAGGAAAAATCCTTGCCATTTGGGAGCACGTTTATATTGTGCAGTGGTTTCGTGCTAAGCAAGATGCTTCCATTTTTCTACTAGGTGTTATTAATTAAATCAGAATGTTAGTGGTGGTGGTATTTGTTTCCAGTCAGCTTGGTAGAATGTCAGTACAGATGAAGTCATCTCATTTGTAACTCATGCTCACACCATATCTGCATTGAAGCTTTAATGTAAAATGACATTAAATATCATTACTAGAAGCTCCAATCCAAACTGCAAAAAGAATTTAGTCAACACATAGAAAAGAATCCAGAGGAAGGATGATTTTGCTCTTGCTTTAACAACATTTTTGTCATAGCCCTAAATTCAGTGTACTATTTGGTTTTAAAGAGGAAAGGAACCTCTGGCTCATTGGTTGCTGTCTTGTTCTGAGAATGGGAAAAACATAATTTGCATATCCTTCATTTAATCTCTCCCTAGGCTATTGAGCTGTCTGGCTACTGAGAGGAAAGCAGAATCTATTTAGTAGAGGCAAGGTTCTCATCCAAGAATGGCTATGGTCTCTTTCTGCCCACATTACCAAAGAAAGGCTTTAGATGGGATCTTCAATAAGAAATTGATCAAATGATTCATTCTTTTCTTATCTGATAGCATCTAGATATAAAAGGAATCTTGTGAGGACAATAAAAATGTCAGGAGTACTAACAGACATAAATTAATTGGGAGACACTTCTTTTGATCAAAAGAAAATTTCCATTGTTTCTATCACTTGTTCATGGACTAGAATGTTAATGGGAAGTAGCTATGAATGTTGACAACAATTAAGACATTTAGAAAACATCATATATGTGATGTTTACAGAATGACTGGTCCTCAGCAGCATAACCACGTGAATCTTTGCTGAAATGGGGAGTTCCATGTGGTCTAGAAAGCCTTGAAAAGAGGCTGAAGTCTCCTTTCTCCCAGTGATGAGATGTGTAGCTTATATCTCAATTACCTGTGGTATCCACTTGTCTTTTCATCTGTTTGGTGAAGAATCTCGACTCTATCATTTCAAAGCATTGTCCAGCTCTAACACGCTACAATTCTGCTTTGTCTCTTTGTGGTAAAATCTTCCCATGACATATTCGCCCAGCTCTCTTCCTCCCATCCTGGTCACCCCACCTGCAAAGTGGCTCCTGTATCTAGTCCAAATAGGCAACACCAGTTTTCTTGTGCAAAACAAATAAAAACACAGTATATCCCTTCATAGCAAAAAGGATATTCGGTTGCACTTCCGGTTGGGAGAGTATTGAGAGTAGGAACTGGGCGGGGGGAAAAGGACAATCCCAATTATTTTTTGACTCACTATTCTCATGTTATTAGTTTACAAAAAGCATACTTCAATCTGGCATGGCAGCACAAACTTAAAAAAAATAAATCAGATAATTGCCTAGGTTAAATTCATGCTTCAGAAAGTGTAATACCATGCATTAGATATGTTTAATTAACCATCTAAAAATGTTAAGGCTTTGAAATATCACTGCCAATTATATGTTAGAATCCAGAAGAGATTTTATTGACTATGAATCTTCAGCTATAAGCACAAGATGATTTCGAATCCACTTCTCAAGGTAAACTTTCCAAAACCCACTTTCTATTTCTAAGACTATGCAATTTTTTTTTTCACAATGGAATCTAATCACTAAATAAAGGCACAATGATAATATTGATGTACAACTTTGCCTCGTAAAGCCACATCATAAAAACATCTGCTTTGCTAGTCTAGTTTTATGGGTATTCCTATATAGCAATATTGCCTCTGTCTCAAAAATTACAAATATTTATAAACCGAAATCATGTTATTTAGCATTAGTTCTTATCAGGATTCAACTTTTAAGTACAAGAAAACTGTACCTCTTGGGGAAGTTATGCAGGAATATTCTCTGACGTTGTTTTCTCACTGTCTCCTTTATGGTTGAGTAGAATTTCCATCTAAGCACAAGTAAGCGCATTGATATCAATATATAGCTGAGGCCCTATGTAAAAGCTTCTCCAAAATGTTTGAAGTGTGGTTATAACATGAAAAGGAATCAATTCAGGAGTTCCAGGTGGAAATAAGGCTTTACGTTCTTTTATTGGGTTGTAAAGCTGTGTCATCTTAGGGGTGAAGAGGAAACTCACTGGAAATGACTCCAGCTCTCATCTCAGTAATATCTGTTTAAAATCTTCCCCGGGTAGTGGATTTCAGAACGCCACCTGGTGATCATGAGTACCGAACCGGGGCATCATGCATGCATTCTGAAAAAAGCAGCTTGGGATCAGGCATGCAAATCCCCCAGGCATCAGGAGGAGACAAGTTTTCTGGATGCATTTTAATCAACATTTAGTAAAATTCAGTTTGGTTCAGAGGAAAATGGTCAATTTATATGAAGCCTCTCAATGTCGGGACAAAAGGGAGTTATCTCATTAAAAAGCTAATCATTGAAGAAAATTATACATAGACCTTTGAAGGAAAAGCGTTAGTTTTACATAGTGGTGAAGAACCATCGTATTCTCTGCTTGGCGAGTTATTGCTATTGTGTTCCTCAGACTCCAGTTACCCTGCGCTGTGCACAGCTCTCCTCTGTTAATGCCAGTTCTCAGGAATGACAGCGCTTTCTAACCTACAAGCACTTTAGCAACTCTAGCAAATCTCTACAACACCCCTATGAGGTAGGTAAATAAATATCTCTCTTTTGCATATGGGAAAAATGAGGCCGAGGGTGAGTTTTCGAGGCTGGAGAGATGGACCAGGGATTGCGGATCAGGTGTGCAGAGATTCCCAGTTCCTGTGTCCCAATCACTGACCCAGAGCCCCTCCCATCCCTGCATCCAGAAAGGAATCCATCCCACAGTGTAAAAGGATAGTGTTTTGTAGAATAAGATATTTAAGTATATTTAAGACAGTCACTATATTCAACACAGGGATTTTTGGTTTTCTACGAAACCATAAATTCCGTTGATTATCACACTACCAAAGATCACGGAATAAAACGACTCATACTTTTGTGGAGGCCAATTGATTGTCACCTCGTTGCTGATTCAACTAAGCATCCTGTTGGTAACTTGAAATGGGATTTGGTGAAATAAAGATCTCAGTTAAAAAGAAAAGCAAAACTGAATTGGGCTGGTACACACATCTGCTATGGGACTGCCACTGATGATGCTGTGGGGCATGAGGGGGGTTCCTTGCTACACAAAGTGGAGGATCCATTTGCTTTCATGAAAACATTCTGCATGTGAGGGAAGAAAGGCCCCAAAAAGGAATTTTATTGCCTTCCCCATAAAGTCATTGTAACTTGGCACTGAGTGTAGAATGTGACACAATCAAAACCCTACCTACAGATCTTCAAAACGTTTAGGTTTTCTCTGGAAATCCCTTCACTATCTTTGCATAGCTGAATACCTTTCCATTCTCTGTGTGCCTACTCATGGTCAATCATCTGTATCAAGTTCTGCGGCAAAAGTGCTCTTAAAGAAACGGGTCTGAATGGTTTACCTGTTTTTCCGCTAAGCTTCAGGGTTGTAAATGGGGTTAGCACAAAATTTGCCACAATGCTCACCAACCCAGTGTCAAATCAGGAGAAACAAGATCGACTTCTTACTGTCACAACGAAGAAGTGTCCCCAAATAATCGGGAATGGAAGAGTCAGGATGAACGTTTCAAACTTCTGGGAGCTGAATTTTCCTTTGATGTAAATTTTTTCTTTTTCCCCAGGAATTTTAATGACTACAAAGAAATCGCTAAATATTCCCATATTTGTGGTAACCAGTTGGTGCCTGAAAATTGGCATGACATCAACAAACGAAACCCAAAAAACTATGTACGGTATTTTGTTTGGGAAAAATAGCTTTTACTTCTATCAACACCATAAAATTCACCATGAAATAATTTTGTCAAGCAGTTTGAACTGTTTCTAGGCTTAAAAAATATCATAAGGAATGCTTAAAATTAAAACTTCTATTTGAAGAACAAAAACTTAACAAATTTATATTTCCTTCAAGCCATTTTATCAAGTAGACTTTGTGAATAACTAAGATGATAGGAACAGCAGAAGAGCAATGATAAAATTTATAAAAGATGGCAAAGACTGAATAGAAAGTTTCTTCCCTGGCAGGGGCAGAGTGAAGGAGGGTGTACCTCAGCCAGGCCCAGAACACCCAGGACAGCCTGCCTGACCTCTTCCATTTATGTGTTTGTCGAAAGTAAATAACAATTAAATAACATTTGCTCTGCATTGGTTGCTCTTTGCACAACAGAGAGACTTTGAGCAGCAGAACAGGACCAGCAGTTGCTTACTGCATGAGAAAGTTCAGTTCCATTACTCACAATACCCGAGCAGTCTGTCTAACCAGAACGACAGCAGACACCCAGATAGAAAACTGTGTGCTTCAAACATCTTGACTTTTCCAAATATCCATATGTTTGATATCATGAAGACCAAACTTGCCACTTGGGTGACGTACTTCGCCACTTTTCATTGCAGTATTTACAGTCATGCGGACGGCCTTTATTTTTTATTAACACCTCATCTACTTTGGTTTAGTGAAGATGGTTTAGCAATCATCTGGAAAATTCAGGTGTTGAAAGCCCTCAAAAGAAAAGAATCTTAGGAGGAAAAATCAGAGCTTGAGGGCTATCAATGGTCCAGTGGTTTTTGTCTATGTTGAAAAATTGCTTAACTCTCTATTTCTTTCCACTTCCATTATTCTGAAAATTATTTTCACAAAAATTATTCTTTTCCAGTTTGGGAAGATAGACTAGGTGACTGGCACAATTGAGAGTCACGGTATGAGTGAAAGATTCGAATGCTTGTAAACCCAGTTTAGTACGTTTGGACACAGAGGCTCTTGTGACATGGTGATATATTTACAGTGGGAAGATGAGTAAGGCCATGGTAACCCTGAATCTCTTTGCTCTTAAAAGGAGGGATGGTTAAATGATTCATGCTCTACAAACAAGAGTGACTTACAATACCTTAAAATGCCTTATCTTAGAACCCATCAGAAGCTCTCCTGCAGAGCCCACAGGGGCCAGTGGTCAAGGAGCCCTGTCGGAGGGAATGAGTTCTCTTAATGAGAGCGTCAGTCTTAGACATGTCACCACCAGTCTTAGACTATCTTCCCACTTGGGTCAGGCCCTGGCCTTCCCAAAGGGTATATGTCTGTTGTTAGTTATGGACTGGCAGTGACTATCTTGAACTTCTCTGCTCTTTGAAAAGGCAAATACTTTGGATGAACCACTGGCAGGTTTTCTCTTCATCACTATACTTGGTCCTCTACATTAATAGAAACCCTCTGACCCAACACCCAATCACGCAGAGTAACTGTTACCCATAAACCTTGCTCCAGAGGGCTGTCTATAGCTCCTATATCCCCACGATTGGCCGCCTCATTGCATATTACAGTATCATTGTACCTATGTGGACTCTGGGATTCAGAAAATGAACATTTTTTTTTAACTTGTTACTTTTCACTGCCTGGCAATTGAAAATAAGTCACATGATGGTAGACCGCTTTCTCCCCCAATTTTATTTCGGTGCTTGTGCCAAGAGCTAGTTCTAAAAACAGACTTGCTGTGATACTAGGGCCGATAACTAGGAGGATCATTCATTCAGTAGTCCTTGCTATTATATGTCTTGGTGATGACCACCAACGTGACAGCTTAGGGAGGAGAAGCATCTATGAAACACAAGAAAATCCTTGCCTCTTCTCAATCTGCTTGTTGAAAAATCTGATGACGTCTACTCTTTCATCTGGGGCTAACTCCTGAAATTGTTATACCAAAAGATTAGACAGAAAACTTTACAAGAACATCTGGAGGCCTCACTCTCTCATATACTCTGAAATTATGACCTGATAACCTCACTCTTATCTTGCAACTCAAATCTTGCTCTGAAGAAAAAAAAAAAAAAAACAGAAACAAGGGAGAAAGAACCATGTCTTAAAATTAAGAGACGACCTGTTTCCCTCTAAGTGAAAATTTCGTCATTAAGAACATCGGATTTGTGATCTTTGAGCTCGCAACCAAGGTTTTGCAGGGCTGAGAAGCAACAGGATAGCCGATTCCACACAGAAATGGATCTCGGGTTGGAACTGCTCATGTCACCACCTAGGAAGGCAGGAATCAAATTATTCAGTAGCTACACCCATGCAGATTTTACCCCTGAAATTAAATAAAAACTCAATTTTTACAAATTGGTTATCACGACGCTGAAAATGGTAGTCTCAAGAAACGAAATAAAAGCAGCAACTGTACTCAGGTCAGTTATTCCACAGATGACATGACTTTCACTTCCAAACATGTGGATTTGAATCCATTTAAAGCAAGTCTCCAAGGCGGGAGTACCCCATTCTCTGAGCTATGCAAGCCCCAGGAATTTTTTTTCTTTTTATCCAAAACAGCGCTTACTGGAAAAAACAAAGGAAGCAGATGAATATTCATAGCATGAGCCGGAGAAGCAGGTAGCAGGAATTCACCAGGCTCCGCTTCACAGAGGTCTTTCTTCAGGCCTGGGCACGTGGTGGAACTACCGCTGAGGCTGAATGGAAGTGCTCCTTTTCCACTCACTGATTAATGTTCCCTGGCAGGAGCTTGGTTACAATATTGCAAGTCAAGAATTTGCAAGATTAAAGTGTCTGTTGAATTAGTTAACTGCAAATCACCTCCAGTAAAGCTTGACAAGCTCCAAGATGTTTCTGTAGAAAAAGAAGGGAATCGATAGCATCAGCAACATGCAGCTTTGTGACAGCGGAGACTGTATTTCTGAGTGACAGCTCACTGCCGTCTTCCCTCCTCCTACAGCAGGAGGGATTTACGTCTTTCCACAGAGTCCCAAACCTCTGATTCAGACTGCAGAAAATGTTTCACCCCAGGCTTTCAAAACGTCAGAAATGCATTTCCTCTTTCATGTACAATGCAGTGGAAAGGTTAATAAGGGAAGGTGAATATTTTAATTTTTAAAAGAATGATAGAAAATGACAATTCTTTCACTAGCTGACAGGCCTCTTTTGGTTCAGTGAAGGTGTGTTATTGCTCCCAATTTGAATAGAGTGAAAAACATCACCAGGGGTTCAGCAGAAAACGACAGGTCAAAGGTTAATTGCTAAGTGAATACAGGGCTGAACACACAAAGTGCTCATTTTCCAGAATCACAATAGCTTGCAATGCTGGTGTTAACATGCGTTCTACTGGCGTGTGATCAAAAGAGGAATTTTGATTACAATCATAGAAACCCAAACCATATTTTCAACATACATGTGCTGAACTTGTTTTAGAACTTGTTGATAAATGAATTAATCTGAAATAATTAAAAGTGTTGATTTGATGCAGCTCCATACTAGAATGCCACTAGAATGGGTAAATTAAATGAGCTTAACCACATCTCTTATCTGGTGACATCTGTAGTACTTAAATGAAGTAATAATGTGATTAAATCCATGTTAACGTAAATCAGGCAATGGCGAGGAGAAGGCCAACTTAACTTGGTAGATGGAAATGTAATACAAACACAAACCTTTACATTTTCTGAAATTCTAGTAACAGTAGATGACATGCTTCAATTACCAGCACAAGAGAAAATTTTGTGTCAGTATTGTGTTTGTAATATTTGCTTAATATTTTGATTAATTAGTTTTGATGCTGATTTGCTTTGTTAAACAGGATCTTTGCTTAGCAAATACTATATCGGTAACTACCTGCTTCTTTTTGTCTGGTCCAGTGACTAAAATAGCGATAATTGTAGTAAGGAATGTGGTAATGGTGGCACGAACCTAGGAACCATGGTACCTTATAACATTTACTAGGTCAACTCTTTTATTAATGCATAATGTGACTCACCAAGGAATTCTTTGAATTATACTGTACTCATCAAAGTTAATACAGTTTCTTCCCTCTTCTCTTCTACTCCATAGAAGGCCAATGGGCTTATACATTCCCCATTCCCTGACAAGAATTATTTCACATAAGGAAATTAGTTATACAAGTTAACAGTGATGTTTAACAATATACTCCTTATATGTGTGGGAAGGAGTAAGGGCCGCAGTGCAGGAAGGAATGGAAATGGGGACAAAGCCGGTGTGGGTTTCCCCAGGGAGCTGGGGCTGGCTCTCCTGCCTCCTGACATTGTCACGCAGCATGTGCTGCTCTTCTGGGCGTCTGAGGAAAGGCTTTTGAGCAACAGCTGATGTTTATGTCTGGAAATCTGTTATTCCTAAATGACCAGTATGCTGGAGAAATACAGTAAGTGAAGAGTGCTTTCTTGAGAAATCAGAGAATTTTTGCAAACTCTTCAGTTTCATGCCTTTTCTTGAAAGAAATTCTCAAGAATTGCTCCAAAGTTTATCCAAAAATGATCATTTTCAATCAAATACTACGTGCCAAGAGAGTATTTTAATTTTTTGTTGTTGCATTGTGACATCGATTTAAAAATAGCTAGTGCTGGAGAGCTACGTAAACAAATAGAAAATTACTTTTCTCTTTCTAGGCACTCTAGCGTTGAGTGTTTTGTATTTGTGTTGTTACTTTATGTTTGTCATCGTTACTTTATGTGGTAATTGTTGACTGTGAGGCTTACGTAATACAGTCATGTGTCACACGATTTTTGGTTAACAACAGACTGCGCATATGACAACGATCTCACAAGACAATAATGCTGTACTTTAACTGAACTCTTCTATGTTTAAATACACAGATACTTACCACGGTGTTACAATTGCCTACAGTATTCAGTGCAGCAGCATGCTGCATAGGTTTGTAGCCTAGGGACAATAGGCTCTACCACAGCCTGGGAGCGTGGTAGGCTGTACCATCTAAGCTTGTGTAAGCGCATTCCATCACACAATGATGAAACCGCCGGCAGATGCCTATCTTAGAACGTATCCCCATCCTTAAGTGACACATGACAGCATAGTCTTAGGAAAGCTGTGTTTCTTTCGTGCTGTAATACAGAATTAAACACAGATGTTGAGAAGAGAAGCAGCAGTGTGGTGGAGTAGAGAAGAGTAAGAGTTGATGTCAGAAAACTATGATTGTGCTGCTAATAACCAGACTGTGAGTTATTCCAATGTAACTTTCCTCTGTGCTCGACTGTGCATTACTTAGCCATACGAGTCATAGAGGTCATGCTCGTTGAATAAATGACTCAGGGAAAAAACAGAAGTGTAATGTGTAATCCTGATTACATAAATGACCTGTTCTCTTTGGATCTCAGTTGTCTGATCTATAAAGTAAAGTGATAAAGCAACACTTACTTCTTTTACATGCTATTTCCTGTAAAAATCAGTGACTTCTAATTTTACATAAATTCATAAAGGTCTGCTTAAATCAAAGTACAAAGATAGTTACTTGTATTTTAAAACATTACATTCATACTGATCGTTGAAGACTTTTTAAAAATAAACACCAGTGTTGAGAAAATTTTTGGTTTATTATTGGCTACCTTTTTAGTATCAGTTCATACAATACACACACACAGCTTACTAGGCAACAACATCATTGAATGGGTTACAACTCTGTCATCTTGCAGACCTTCAGACATGCTACATCTAAAGTGAGAAGGGAAAGAACACATCAATTATTTTATAAGTTCATTCAACAAATATTTGGTCTACACTTGCAGTATTATTTGCACCGAACACTAAGATAAAGTTCCTAGACTTATATGATCATTAAAGCTAGTGGTTTAATAATCCTCTTATATATTAAATTTTGTGACCTGCAAGATATTAAACAAAATTTAGGGAAAAATTATGACAGTGAAACAGAATTACCTTATAATATAAAAACATCGCCTCAAAGACTTGTTAGATCTCCTTCCTTCCTTCCTTTTCTTCCTTCCTGTCTTCCTTTCCTTCCTTTCTTCCTTCCTGCCTTCCCTTACTCTCTCCCTCCCTCTTTTCCTCTCTCTTTATCTCATCAGAATGCCAAAGTAAGTACTGGAGTTTAGGTTGTTTTTTCAGTCTGCTTAACTGTACGGCAGCAGCATACACATACAAAATATAAGAGAAGTGGCGTCAGGTTAGTTTATATTTGCCACTTAATTGAATACATAGTGGAGCCATAGAAGGGGGGCAGTTGCCTGGAATGGAACAATAGCATTTATCTTCTTACTATGAGTTAGAGAGTAAAGGGAAAATGTAGTTACGGATGATTGAGACTTCCATTTCTCATCATCGACTATTACATTTTTAACTCTTCATTTCGAAAGACATCTTTGACGTTTAAATACTTTTTTTTTTTGGAAAAATTTCATCATCAGACCATGATCCTGCTTCTTCTGAAGACTTGCCAAATCAGAAACAGATTTTGTGGGAAGAGTCACTGGGCTTCCGGAAGTTGCAGTTGTTAAAACGTGTGCTCAACTCTCAGCCCCACTCTTTCCTATCTGTGGGACCTTTGGGCAAATTGCTTGACCTCTCTAAGCCAAAGTTTTGTCATCTGTAAACGACACTTAATTCACAGATGACAGTGAGGACTCAGTGAAACCACACAGATACAGCTCTTAGCTCAGCACTAGGTAACGCAATAAACCCTCCACTGTGGTGAGCTACTCTCAATATGGGAGACGAAACCGAAAGAAAATCTACAGGGAAATAAAATACCCAAAAGCAAAACTCGATTTAGGCAGCTTGTTTGTCTTGTGGGCTGTCAGTATATTATTAAAATATTTCAGGGACATTAAGCCAACTCCTGTTTAGCAGAATATAGGCCTCAAGGTTGACTAAAGTTTTACATTTGTGGGCTAGGTCACTGCCTGCAAAAAAAAAAAAAAAAAAATATATATATATATATATATATATATATATATATATATATATATATTCTGATTTGTTTTCCATGTGGAATCTAGAGAAAGAGCTTCAGATGGATGATGAAACAACGTGACCCCTCAAACGCTCTAGGGAGAGTTTCTGAACCCCTCATTTCTGTGGGCAAATGGCTGTTTGGCACTTCCTCCACGTGGCTTTCTGCTGTGAGAGCAGCCTAATTGCTTCAATTAGCAAAATGAAATGGCTCATTATGTTTTTATACAATTCCACCCATATTCTGCAGTTTTACTTTAGAATGAGCAATGATACTGTCCAGGCTGTTGTTTGAGTCTTGCCACCTGCCCATTTTTAGGACAGCAACTAGACAAGACATATGTCAACACAGAGAGCTCTGCGGTGCTGCCACCCAGGTGCCTGTGTGAGGAGGCGAGATGCCACTCGGATGAATGCTCAGGGCATTTCATGGCCTGATACAGGTCTGGACAAGCAGAAATGGGGAATAGCGTGGAATCGCCCAGCCTTGGCCATTTTGAAACACGGGAGCATCAGGTGGGAGAAGGAGTGTTACCAGTCAGAAGCTGACACGAGTGATCATTTTGATTGTTTTCAAAAATGACATTGGATTGCCAAGACAAAGGAACGTTGATCTGCATCCGTCACAGAAATTCTAAGAATGACCACCCTGTCCTGCTCTGTTTTCACTATGCACTTCAACCATCCTCTGAGCTGTAATCTGAATGACAGCCTGAGCTACTTTTAAAAAGGCTTTAAGGAATTCTCGTTAGCACATAAAAATGCAGGCATCTTATCCAAGCTTGATATAGAAACAGCAATGGCTAATAGCAAAGATATGTGGAAAATGCAAGGGAGCGTATATTTAGCCTAGAAAATGGTTATTAGAGAAAGATCTCTGGATTCTTGTCTAAACATTGTGTCAGGACTTGTTCCCATTCAATGGCATTTGGTACATTTAAAAGCAAATGTGTAGCCTTTCACAATCCTGGTAAGGACAGAGAGGTTTCCTCTGCTCAATTCAGTCTGTTCAGAGAAAGAATCTTTGAAATGACACAGAAACATTTTAAAAGATGAGATCCTTAAGAAGTGATAAAGCTCATTCGAACTAAGAAGTGCTGAATTATATCGAGGTATTTCCAACTGAAGTTCGAAGGTGTTGGTCTTATACATGGGTGGTAAGCTTGGGTTCGTTTTGAAAAAGGAGTAGGAAAATGCTTCTTTTCTAAAAGTTTGTGTGTCAATAACATACCATTTTATATGCATTCAAAAGCAGTATATACTTTATCCTCTTTGTCCCTGTTAACTTTAGTTGGAAAGTGTGTGCGTATACACACATAGAAATGTATGTATAAAAAGGCATATTTATATATACATATCATTTTTAAAAGGCCATTGAGCTTTCAATTATTCCCATTCACTTTTAATTGGTCTGTGCAGTCACTTTCTTTACTCATAGAGCAAAATAAATTGGGCATTTAGAAATTAACCATAAATACTTCATTTTACTTTTCAGAGTACCTTGTGCTAATTCTTGAATTACATTTTCGTGCCGTGTCAGTAAGAGAAATTATCAAATTGGTTGGGTTAACAGCATGTATCATAAATGAGTAGCAACTAAGTGTTTGCAAAGTCAGTGTTACTGAACCAGACAGTGCATAGTTAAGTAAATAAGCAAAGCGGGTTTAAAGGACACAGCCATTTTGGGGACCAAACTTTGACTTTCGTGGAAAAAGTCCTTTTCTTTCACACAAATACTTAAAGTGTTACTATGGCTAAGATATGCACACACACATATTATATATATTAATGAAATATGGTTTCATATTTAGAAATGCACGTTTGAAAATGAAACAAATTAGAATGCTGTTTCTTTAGAAAATTTCCTGGTCCTGTGCAAAAAGTGAGTAACAGCAGATCTCCCTCTGAAATGGAATCAAAGTGGACTCAGATACGGAAACGAGCCTGCAGATAAGGAACCCTGCATTTCCATTTTTTTTTCTTTGGGATTCTCCAGTTACTGTCTGTGGAGGATTTAATGGCAGATTGAAAAGGAAATATTATAATTACAAAATAAATACAAAAATCAAACTCTGTTTCTTTGTACATTGACGATGTCTCTTTAAATCCGAATACTTTAAACTCTCTGTTATCTGTTATCTGCAATTTTCGTGTGGAAAATGAGTAAAAGTTGTTATTACCACAATAGTCTGATGGCAGTGTAGTGCTTCCTGAATCACGGAAGCAAGGCTAAATCATGATTTACCTCTAGAGTAGGTTGCTCCTGTAATCTTTTGAAAGGTTGAGATTCATCGCACGGTGGATATGTTCTTCCCTTAACAAGAATTCATGCCTCACTAAAACATCATCATCTTCAGGTATGCTGGATAACAGAGTATTTACAGTATTTGGAAAATCACTGAAAAATTCAACCTCCCTACATTCTCCTTCCTGCCAATCTCACCTGCAACTCAAAGAACAGTACAGATTTAAAATTGACATAGTACTCATTCTGACTCTTAACAGAGGGATCAAGTTGAGAAATAACTTAGAACTTACATGATTGAAGCATGATGGGGCCTGTTGGGTTTGTGTTGGTTGATTGACTCTACTAGATTGTAATCTGTGATTTACTCATAGAATCAAAGGTTTACAGTTCAACTGAGAAACTCAATTTCCAAAGATCATCAGTTAAAAGTTGTCTTGGAAACAATGACGCTAATAACTCAAGGTTCTGCACAAAAGTGAAGAATTTGCCAAAATCATCATTTTTTTCCTTCTACAATGGGAGGGCGGAATGTTTTCACCATGCGCTGACAGGAAGAGCCTTCTCTTGGGCCTTTACTGGTGACTACGTAATCTTTCCACATCCCAACAAAAGGTTAGTATTTTTTAGTGAAAATCTTGCTTGGAGGATCAAATCATGGAGTATTAGGAAGTATGTCTACTTATAAAAATTGTCTATTTAAAAAAAAAATTGCTCTGGGGCTTTGCACCAAAAGAAGTCCCAGGTTGAGCCCTCTGTTACTTCCTGTGGATGTCATCGTGGGGACACAGTCTCTGGATGACACACCCATTACAGGTGGTAGCTAGAGAACTGGACTACTTTATGGGAATTAGTCCAAATAACTGAATAATTAAGTTAAACTTTCTTTTTATTTTTTAGTGGTTTGACTAATACTTAATCTATCAGTTGGGTTAATATAAAACCAGGGAAGGAAGTTTAAGACATCTTCCACTGTGGTCAGGTTGTTATAATGGATGGATGAAAGTAATCATTGACATCTTTGATTTCCTGGGAAACATTGGCCAGTCTTGACAAGCCCTTTCTATTTAAGCTGATTCTCTCTTCACCTGATAGTCTGATAGCACCCCTGGCCAGGTTCCTGGGGGCACCAACTTGCAAAGTAGGGTGATCTTGCAAGAGACAAATGTTTTCAATCTGCTGAGGCAGGCTGATGGAATTTGTGGACCAGTTTCTGACATCCCAAGTGATTATGATGCTTAAAGTATTTTAAACGATTCCAGGTCTGTAAAAAAAGTGATGATGCCTATGTGTATACCCTATATTTTTTATTACAAAAATATTGAAATAATCCATGAGTTGTTCCACTCTGCACCAACTATAAAAAAATACTATCAAAGTTTGACCGGCACTTTTAATGCAACGAAAAGCACCATGACGGAGGGCGCTGAGAACAGAAAGCGGGGGACGTTTACTTGCTGTACGGAGGTATTTAAAACCCAGAAGCTTGTTGTAAGAGTGCGGCTTTACAGATGAGTCAAATACAAATCTTAGCTGGATATAGTGATAAGCCCTCTATCAGTTCAGAAGGGTTTTTTCGTAACCTATTGATTGCATTTGTCTGCTCATACTTACTAAAATGTGTCCCAAAGCCTTTAAAAGACACATCACTTTGACCTTGGATTGAGGGGAGGGAAAGTCTGTACACAGTGGAGAACGTGATTGTTCGTTCTCTCTCCTGCTTTTAGGGGGCTCACACTACTCATCCTCAGTTGTTCAGGGCTTCCACATCAGTCCTGTGGTTGGACGGTGTTTGGCACTAGAAAGGAGTGGCATGGCGTCCTCCAGAGTCGTGTCTGCCTATGGTCACACAGAGCCACTCATTCTGCGTCTGGAAACAGATCTGGTTCCAGCCCATCCCTCTGGCTTGCGCTGCTCTACTGTGAAGTCCCAGTGGGAGCTGCACATGCCTGGGAATCAGACTCTCATTTAGCCTTTTCCCCACTTCCTCTTTGTAGACCTATTACATTTTTGCAATTGAATACTGAATCATGATTACTATTTAATTTACATCACGAAGTTTCTGAGCTCCTTGGTCTTGTCCAAAGCCGTACGTGGGCTGCATAGGATTTCTGTCAAAAACGATGCTCTCAACTGAAAATTTAAAATATAAAACAAATCCTGAAACACGTAGAAAATGAACCATTCCATCAATGCTAACATACGTGTAAACAACATTTGGGTTTGCTGTTCATTGGATAGGATTTTCACACATGGTATGGATTTCCAAATGAGAAAATGGTTTGTGAATTCTTTTCTAAGCAGTACTATTTTTTTTTCTCATGGGATATATTCTTTCTTTGTTTTTATATTCCTGTGGAAATCAGAGCTTTGCATGAAGAAAAGTCACCTAAGCTATTTTGACAGAGGACTGGTGTTATTTGTGTTAGTGTGTGTATGTGTGCATGAGTGAATCTTTTTTTTTTTTTTTTTTTTTTGAGACAGAGTTTCGCTCCTGTTGCCCAAACCGGAGTGCAATGGCATGATCTCAGCTGACTGCAACCTCTGCCTCCCGGGTTCAAGTGATTCTCCTGCCTCAGCCTCCAGAGTAGCTGGGACTACAGGCGCGTGCCACCATGCCCGGCTAGACTGAATCTATTATGGAAACATCAGTTAACACCATCAAGACACCCTAATGATTGGAGGCAAAATTTTCCATTATAATAGTACCCTCTGGTAGGTGCACCCCAAGACCGTGCAGGAGGAGTTTGGTAGCGATGGAGAGTCCTACAAAGGCAGCGACATTCTTTCAGATGGAATCAGACTCTTGGGTGCAGCTGCTTTGGAAGGAGGCCAGCCGCTCCCAGTTGACAGGATCAAATGATAATGGTGATGACGGTCACACTAGAAACTTCACAGCTCACTGCCCTGCTCTAGGATGAAGTGTCATTACTGCCACAGCCCCGCTGTCACCCCTTCATCTGGATGTTGTGGCTCCTGCAACTCCTTTTGCTTTATAAAGTGGTTTCGTACTCCAACCGCTCCTGAATGAGGGCATCGTCTTTATACTGCAGCCTCGGAGGAGATGGGGAACATTCAAAGGCTAAAATAGCCTTTCGGAGGCTTCGGTCCAACACATGTCTCTCCCATGCTGGGTACCTATTCCTGAACAAGTCAATTTTAATGACTGATTCTTCAATCCGTGGTGGGCGAGATGATGGGGTGGATGGGGCAGTGGGCCTCACCTGAAAGACGGGTACACACCCATCTCGCTCTGCGAATTTCTGATCGCGGTCGCTGACAACACTGCGGTTGTTGGAGATGGACCGTAGGGTGCTTGTGGCCACGTCTGGGGGCAAAGTGAAGGCAGCGGCTGGGTCCTCACAAGCACAACTTGGTGACTGCCCAAATCTGGGTCCATTGGGATGAAAGAAGGCATAATACATCAGCATAAACACAACGCCAGTTAAAAAGCTGCTGAATACCACACACAGCGCTGGGATGGCAAATGCGTCTGCAATCTGGGGAGCCTTATAGAGGTACCAGAGGGCACTCAAGGCCGTATTTTCCAAAAGGATCACAAAATAATAAATGAATAGCCTGCAGCGTGTCCTGCCTTCCTTGACATTGAACCAACTGAAGATATAGATAATCCCCACCACCATGTCGAACACAATCTCTTCCCATTTGGTGATACAGAATTCTGTCTCACAGTGGACGATCCAGAAGGTCATGATGCACCAGTGAAGGACAATGAAGATCCCAAAGTACAGCTGGAAAACCGAGGCAAAGAGGGCAAACGTGATGACCCGGGCAGCAATGGTGAAAAAGTGCCAGCAGAACTGGATGATGACGGCCATGTAGCTGATGGGCTTCTTGTCATCTCGAGAGTCCCGGAGGGCCTTCTGGTAGGAAGCCAAGGCCCAGGCCAAGGACACGAGGGAGGCTGCCGCTGTGAAACCTACAAAGGCAAACGGGAAGACAGTCTGTCAGTAGTCAGTTGCAGCAATGCCCCCTGAAAGTCATGTCACGCAGAGCTGGGGGCTTGGGGAAGGCTGGCTTTGACCTCAGCAAAGGCTTTTAATTTCTTTGGGTTTTAACACAGACGGGGATGCTCGTATCTGTCCTCTCTAAGGCTGATCCAACTGGAGAAGTCATGAAGCTAATAGGAATGCTACTCGAAGCCAGCATGGGTGTTAGACCTGGCAATGGGGTGGAGTTTAACTTTCTGGATTTGGTGTAAATGGACTAACGAGGTAGTTTTGTGGAGTGGAAAATAACCATGGACTGGAGGCTGTCAGAACTGCGTTGGTACTTCAACTTTGCCTCTTATTACCCTCACGACTTTGGACTATTATTAAAGTCCTCATTTATAGAGTGGGTGATCTCCAAAGCTCCCTGTCAACTTTGTGGTTCCACGTAATCACAGGAAACCTGAGGAACTAGCTGGTTTATCTTTCTGCTTGTAAGCAATAATAAATGTAGTGTATTCACAAAAGACAGTCTATGCATTCTTAAAAAGAGAAGGCACTTGTACAACATCCCTGGCTACGTTTCTACTGACAACTGGTGCGCAGTTCGTCCTAGTGTAATCTGGCACTCTTCCTCCAGCTTTTCTTTTTTTTATTTTGAGATGGAGTTTCGCTTTTGTTGCCCAGGCTGGAGTGCAATGGCGCGATCTCGGCTCACTGCAACCTCCGCCTCCTGGGATCAGGCAATTCTCCTGCCTCAACCTCCTGAGTAGCCGTGATTACAGGCACGCGCCACCACGCCCAGCTAATTTTTTGTATTTTTAGTAGAGACGGGGTTTCACCATGTTGACCAGGATGGTCTCAATCTCTCGACCTCGTGATCCACCCATCTCTGCCTCCCAAAGTGCTGGGATTACAGGCTTGAGCCACCGCGCCCGGCTCCCTCCAGCTTTTATCTCTTACTGGCTTTCGCATAAAAGAAGACATGTCCACTCCCTGTCTTTCATCTCTTAGCTCTTCATAGATTAAAGATTGTACTGAAATTATTTTTCAATCACTTCTCTTGTTTTATGAATTTATTGGCCCCATTTGGTTGGTATTCCCTCTAAAAGGCTTCCAAATGTTAAAAGTCATTTTTGTTGTTTTTCTTGACTCTTATTTCACCTCCTGTGTCCCATGGTTCATCTCTATGGTCCAGATGTGGGCAGGGCTCACCTAAAAACACACTGGCCTTCTTTAGGAGAGAGTTCTTGTGGGAAGTTCCTCTGTCACCAAAACAGTATGCCCATCTGCATCTCAGCTGGCTTCCTTAATGAGCTGAGCCAAGACTCACCAAGATTAAGAATGCTCTCATGTATTTTAAAGCCCAGCTGACTTTTTCTTCACCAAGTCTATTATTAGTCATAACCAGACCCTTGTACAGTCTTTCTCTTCTTTTGGAAATAATAGAAGATGCGTTGATTGCCAAGAGCTTATAATGGAATTGGTAATTTTTATTCAAAAATACTTTTACAGAGAAGAGCTGTTGTCTTTGATCCTTGAAATATGAAAAGAAAGCACTCTTGTGGAAAAAGGCCACACTAATTGACAGAAAAAACTTCCACCCCAATAATTATTTGATACATCCTCCTTGAGTAAGGTGAACTCCAAAGAACAATCATTGTATTCTTCCAACAGCGGTTTCTCATCCTGCCTCCCAGTAAAGCCAGCAGAACAACCAGACCTGCTACACTGGGACCTTCAGGTTGTTTTCTTTTCTTTTTCTGGCTAGCACAAAAATCTTTAATTGCTGTAAGTCACACACAGCTGTGGTGCTATTTCTAGGTCAGTTAGAGACCTGGACACAAAGCAGTTTCTGATAATCGCTAAGCAACAGAAAACATAGACATCAATCATAAAACAAGTTCTGGAGTGAAAAGATGAGGAAGGAGAAAAAGTTTAAAAAATGACAAAAGGAGGTGAGAGAAATGCGAAATTTGGGGATGGGATAATGACCTTGTGAACATCTTTATTATCAGTTGTGGATCCAAGAACAAAAGGTTGTGCCGTTTTAATTTCAAAGCCTTGGTAGGGCATAGAAGCATATCGCTCTCCTTATCTGTACCATTTGCAAACGTGAAGCTTCGCACTAGCCTGTGCTCGCTTGGTGCTTTCCAGCGGGGCCCCCAGGTCGGTTTCTGCCCGGGAACGCCCCTTCCCCTTCCTGCACGCCGGCCTCCTTCGGCACAGCTGGGCACAGCGCCCCCTTCAGGAAGACAACTGCACCGCCGGTCCGGCTCGCGCCAATCTAAGCGGGGTGTCCACCCGGTGGTCAGAATGGTTCTACCGGTTTGCATAGGAAGACGTTCCTTAAGGCTGCCTTCCAAAGCAGTGAAAAAAAAGAGTATCAAAAGTTTCAGTGTACAGCATCATGAAATGATCTGCTGTCAGATTTAAAAGAGTAGAAACATTAGCCTCCAAATTTCCCTGTAATCTCTACCCCTTTTATTGCGTGTCCTAAAAGTAATTCAGCCTGCGTTTGACACTCCAGGAACTTGTTAAGATGATATTGTAGCCTTAGAAAAATGAAGGTTTTCTTTGCTCTCCCTGTATCTTACAATTAAAAAAATCTATACCAAAAGGAAATTTCATGTCCTTGTGATAATGCCCTTTATGAATTCTCTGCTTTAGCAATGAGAATTTCTCTTCTTCCTTTGTTGTGGATGATAATGATCATAATGATTTTTTTTTTTTTGAGACGGAGTTTCGCTCTTGTTACCCAGGCTGGAGTGCAATGGCGCGATCTCGGCTTACTGCCACCTCCGCCTCCTGGGTTCAGGCAATTCTCCTGCCTCAGCCTCCTGAGTAGTTGGAATTACAGGCATGCGCCACCATGCCCAGCTAATTTTTTGTATTTTTAGTAGAGACGGGGTTTCACCATGTTGACCAGGATGGTCTCGATCTCTTGACCTCGTGATCCACCCGCCTCGGCCTCCCAAAGTGCTGGGATTACAGGTGTGAGCCACCGCGCCCAGCCCCATAATGATTTTTTGAGACAGAGTTTCACTCTGTCCTCCAGGCTGGAATGCCGTGGCACGCTCTCCACTCACTGCAGCCTTCACCTCCTGGCTTCAAGCAATCCTCACGCTCCAGCCTCCTGAGTAGCTGGGACCACAGGTGTGTGCCACCACGCCCGGCTAAGTTGTGTATTTTTAGTAGAGAGGCCAGGCTGATCTCAAAATTCTACCTTCAAGTGATCCTCCCGCCTCTGCCTCCCAAAGTGCTAGGATTTTAGGCGTGAGCCACCACGCTGGGCCTTCCTTTCATTATTATTTATTTTTTTCATCTGCTTAACAATTGATTTTTATAAGACAAATATATGCTGAACAGAAAATACAGAATAATATTCGAGTTAAGACCCCTACAGCTTCACAAATTCACAACTGTCACAGAACACTTAGTTCTTTTGCTCTTTATACAAATAATACCAGCTCAGCTTTTCCCAATGCCAAGACAGGCTTCCTCAACAAGGCATGGCCTTATTCTTAGAGTTCTCTGGAGCTCTGATGCACAGCAACACAATGCCAGAACACAGGACTCTGAGCATTCCTTTAGCTCTCAATGTGTATTTTAAGTTTATATTTGAAAATAATTTCAAACTTACAGAAAAATTATAAGAATAAAAATATTATATTAAACATCTATATTTCATTTGCCCCAATTGTCAACTGGCTTTATAATTGCCCCGTCTCTGTCTCTGTCTCTCACTCATCTGAGATTAAATGCATACGTATGGTCCCTTACCCTAAAATACACCAGTGTTTATTTCCTACGAATAGGGGTATGCTTTTACATAACCATATAAACTTCAATCAATTTAACATTGATACAATACTTTTTAAAAAACCACTATCAGTATTCCAGTTTCACCAATTGACATTAACAATGTCCATTCTGGCCGGGTGCTGTGGCTCATGCCTGTAATCCCAGCATTTTGGGAGGCAGAGGTGGCCGATCACAAGGTCAGGAGATGGAGACCTTCTTGGCAAACACGATGAAACCCTGTCCCTTCTAAAACCCAAAAAATTGGCTGGGTGTAGTGGTGTGTGCCTGTAGTCTCAGCTACTTGGGAGGGTGAGGCAGGGGGATTGATTGAACCCATTGCAGTGAGCCAAGATCGCACCACTGCACTCCAGCCTGGCAGCAAAGCAAGACTCCATCTCAAAAAAACAAAAACAAAAACAAAAAACACAACCCACCAATGTCCATTCCAAAATTTTTCTTCTCGATACACGATCCAGTCTAGAATCAGGTACTGCATTTACTTATATTAATTTAGTTTTCTTTCATCTGGAATATTTCCAGGTACTTTCTTTGCCTTTATGACATTAACATTGTTTGAAGAGTACAGTACTTGAAAAAAGAAAATAAGAAAAAAAAGGCGTTTCTCATTTTGGATTTACCTGCTGCTCCTTCATGGTTACATTCCAAGGCAGGGCTATATAAGTGACACTGAACAATGTATATTTTCAGCATCATGAATATACTAAAATATGAAGATTCCTTCAGTGGCCCCAGGAAAAATATATAATAGGTTTGTCTTTTTGTTCAAAATAATGAATAGTCTATCACTCATGAAAACTTGCTTCTAAGATCAGACTATAAAAACAGCTACAGGGGACTCAAAAGGATTATATATTATTTCTCAAAATGTGAAAATAGGTGATAAGACCTCAGAGCTTACCTAGTGCAATAATCTTATATTACAGAAAAGAAATTGAGTCTCCCTTTGAGAGGTTACCTTCCCTCTCTCCTGCCTCCCACTTATCTTGGGTGAAAATTGTCCTCCATCGCGAACCCTCCTGCTTCCTAGACAAGGGCCCTGTCAGTCAACCTGCCTTCCTCTGGATTCCATCTCCTCCTCTCCAGGAGCTCCTTTCCCGCATCTTACAAACATGTAACAAGCCTCCTTTACCCTGAGAAACCCTGTTTGTGTGATTTTTCTCTCTCC